CTAAAATAGAGATCAGTTGCAATTCTAGAGAAATGACACAAGCGTGGGCTGGGAAGAAGGGATGAGATGTACAAATGGTACAAATACAGGGAGCTCCCTGCCACACTCAAAAGGGCTTGATCATGAACTGAAGCACAGGAAAGGTGCTGGGTTAGGAGCCCAGCTGGGTCCTGCTGTGTGGCAAACCCTCAGTGGCTCTGCAGAGCCTTCACCTCCTGGTTGTGAAAGAAGCAGCAGCTGCATCCCTGTTGGGGCTACTCAGTCACCCAGCAAGGGAAACAAAACACAGTAGCTTTCCTACAAATCTGCTACACCTCTGTCTATACCCTACAACTCCCCCAAAGGCAGGTGACCCCAGCTGAGTCCCCGTGTTTGAATCTGTGGGCCATGCCAGGCTTTTTGAACCAATGTCATGTTTTGGCACGTCAGACATGACCCAGATTCTTCTACCTAACCATGGAATGGATGCAAGGGCAGGTCCCAACCCTGTTCCTCTGGCAAGGTGTGATAGCATCTGACTCCCAGGGCTGGTGGAGCAGGGCCACCTGGGCCCGTGTGCCTCACCTGGTGCTCTGCATCCCCACCCCACAGGTGTGGCAGCCACCGCAGAGGGACCTGCAGGGCTGGTGACAGCTCACACAAAGTGACCTCGCAGCTGTCCCCAGCTCTGAGCTTTTCTCTGTGGCTGGCCACAACCCCCCCCCACCTCAGCCTCAGCACATTTTGGTGGGCAAGCCAGGGGAGGTAACAATACTCCTCTTTTTTTTTCCACAGAAGACAAAGCTGTGGAAGACACCGATTCCCATGGCAACAAAGGCAAAGAAGTGTCCCAAGACGTGATTTGCTGTCACCATACCCACCTCGTGGCAGATAAGGACAAGTGAGAGCTCGGAAAGGAGCTGTTTCCATGGGACCCTCCCCAGCGAGCCCCCACAACGACAGCCAAGCATCAGCTTTCAGCATCAAACAGGTCTGACTGGAAGGGAGCAACGCTGCTTCCCCAGCAAGCACTGCCCAAATCTTGTCCTCTTGTGAGGGACAGGGCTCTGCTGGCTCCTCAGAGCCTGCCTAACCCTGAGCAAGGCACACTGCTGCTCGCTAATCCACTTACCCAGGCAATTACACTGGGAGAGCAGCCTGCAGGGAGCCATGCTCAACTTCTCAGCTAAACATCCTCCTGGGTTTTTTAACCACTGAGTGGTACCTAAAGCAATGGTGAGAGCTGCTCACAGAGCATCCATTTGTTCTTAGGCAGCGTGGCCTATGCAAGTGCATTTCCTTCCAACACTCTCATTTATCATAGTTCTCCCCTCCCAGTCCTGCCCCTTCAGTTCCCTGGGGAAAGTCAGTGAATTTATGAAGAAGCAAAGTCACCTTGAGCCTTAATCCACACCCTAGCAGAAGAAATACATCTGTCGGCAGTCACATCCACTCACTCTGCAACAGTGTTATAACAATGCTCACTTTGTTAGCACAGAAAATACTGTCTGCTTCTCTGCTTCTGGAGACAAGCTACCACAAAGGCTGGAGCAAAGAAAAGACTGGGGACAGAAAAAATAGCCCTGTACATCTGAGGTCAAACAGGTAAACTGAGGTGAAACAGTGGAATTAGGAAGAGCAAAGAAAAGAGTCAACAAACCTAGTCCTTGCCTTAAGATAATACCTCCAAAACAATTCCCTGCTCCCTTTCTGTGTAAAAAGTAAAGGCACTTGAGAAAACTGTGCTCAATAAAGTTGGAGAAGACAGGCAGAGTTCCTCATCCAACTGAGAGCAAAACAGCGACCAAAGCAGGTGACAAAGTGCAGTGGAACCAGGGGCATAAGGCAGTTGGGATTTTGCCATCTGGGAGCAAAGGACAGATTCCCTCATAACCAGCCTGGCACCCAGCTTGCTTGGTTCTCCTTCCTCCTTCCCTCAAGGAAACCAGTCCTGATGCCATCTGAGCACACGGGACTAAAACAGGGTTTAAAAATGGGCCTGGGATCTTCAGAGATCCAGGCAGAGACAAAGCTCCCTCCAGCAGAGGCTGTCCCAGCCCTGCACAGGCACTGCCCGGATGTTTTGGGGGTGTGGGCTGGTTCCCAAGTCGCTGATGCTGACACAGGACTGCTCTCACAGGTAGAGCTCCCACCTTTGTGTCCATCCCCATGAAACAGCTCCTTTACATTCGACAGGAACAAGTGCAGCTGCTTGTTGCTGTCTGCCCTACTTGTTGCCATGACTTGATTATCACTCCTGGGATGAACCTGTTACTGACTGGGAGGACTGAAACCTTACTATTCCCAGAAGATGCAGGAGTTACAGCACAGAGCAAGGAGGCTGAAGAAGAGCTAAATGGAGCCAGTCCCAATGAAACTGCCACCCTTCAAACACTCCCATCCTGCTGGCTGGATAGTGCACTGGGCTGAAACCCAATTGCTTTGTCATCTTTGGCACCTGCTGCAGGCAAGCACCAGCTTTTGTCAGCCCAACATCCTTTTCTCTGCCATGCACCCCAGAGCAGATGAGTGAGTTTCTACAAAGGGTCCCACCTGACAAACAGGTAAAACAGTGAGGACACAGGTGTCCTGGTGTAGGAGTTCTCTGAGCTAGTGTTGGAATCCAGCAGCCCAAAGATATCAACCCATCCTAAATCCCCAATACTTTGCTAACTGCATTATAAAGGAAGAAGATTTAATTAGCATATGTAAGGAATCTCCTCCTTAACAGTGTCATTCCATTGGCACACTCTGAATTCTATTGCTACTTATGCCCTCAAGGACAAGAGGTGGTGCTGTATGAGTTTCCTTTGCTTCACTATGGGGGAAGAACACCAAAACGACAGAGACTTCACCAAGTCACTTAGAAATCCACCAACTGCCACCTGCCACTTCAAAATCTATTCCCAAACAATAGATTGTCCCCTAATAACTTACCTGGACTTCTCTATTCTCATCAGCAGTCTTTCTCTTCCTGGCAGTACTCTTAAACTTTTCAAGAGAGTAACAAAACTTGCCCTCTGCTCCAGGAGTAGATTTCAACTTGCCTGTTGCACCTGCATGCTGTCGCAGCCTTGGTCAAAGGACATATTCCAAGAGAAATTCCCAGGATCCAAATGTACAGAAACATCATCATCAGTGCAGGAGAACCAAAAGAAACGCCCCAATAATTGCCTAAATTAATCTTTGTACTAAATACTCTTCTAAGCAACTCTCATTTAGAGAGGTTTTAATACAATCACAGAATGGTTTGAGTTAGAAAGGACCTTAATGCTCATCTAGTTCCAACCTCCCCTTCTGTAAGCAGGGACACTTCCCACTAGACCAGGTTGCTCAGAGCCCATCCAGCCTGGGCTTAAATACTTCCAGGGATGGGGGATGCTTTCATGGGTGTGTAAATAGCAGAGGGAGCCCCAGCCCAGCCTCACACAGCGTCCTAAGAGCTTGTATTTACAGGCTCCTGCGAGCGGAAAGCTGTTTACTAAAAGGATTAGATAAGGCTTGACAAAGATGCAGGAAGGTGGGCATGCTGTGCCTTAGAAAACTTTTGCAATACAGAACCCAAAACATCCCTGTAGGCAATTCCAGTTAGAAAAGAAGAAGGAGGGAGAAATTTCAAACAGGTTTGGCAGAGCACTTTGGCCACAGCAGGCTACAGAGGGGGTTAAATGACAGGAGAGTAACCAGAGCTGTGTGTCTGAGCCATCCCTGAGCAGCCACTGCTGGTACAGTGAAGTCTGTGGGACTATCTCAAAATACCTTCTCCTTCAATCTCTGAGAGAAAACAAGCCCTAAAGCACGCTGCTGCTTCTCCTCCCACTCTCCTGCAGAAGGGAAAGCTGCTCTCCTGGGTTAGGTGAGGACAAGCAGCTCTCATGCTCTGTAAGGCTGCCCAGCACAGCACTTAGAGCAGCAGCTCAGTTCTCCCTGCTTTGGAGAGCACGGTGGTACCTACTAGGCAGACATCCATACCTTTTGGATTCCAGACCTCCAAGAGAACCAGGATAGAGCAGCATTGCTTGTAGGGCATCTATTGCAAGGCCCTTCCTTGATACAGACAAGGGCCGTGGGGCTGAAGCACACTCTTCTTTCGGTATCAGTTTGGTCAGTCTGTCACATCCTGGCGCTCAGTCTGAAACAGAGATCAGCTCCTTATGCATTTCCTTTGCACTTCTGAAGTTAAGCAATTCCTACTCTTTTTCTTGCCCACACATTCCACTCTGGAGATGGCAGCCACAGTGGTGGTGATGGGGTTTGCTACTGTCAGCATTTTCAGATACTCAAGCAAAGCTCTACTCATTCCTCAGAGCACTTCCCGAGTAAGCTGGAAAGTTCCTGATGAGTAGGTGCGAAAAACATTGACAGAAAAGGGGCAAAACCATGAACTGTTAGTTTCCTTGAGGAACAGCATGATAGCACCACCAAACTACTTGGGGTTGAGAGACCAGACATGCAGGCACAGGAGTTTCTCCAGTGGTCTGGTATTGTGCTCGACTTGGAATTTATTATAAACTATAAAACACAAACACAATTACCATGTTCCCCACTGTGTCCATTTAAACACAGCTAAGCAAAGACGTGGGTTCATGGTTAATGGAACAAGCCACAAGAGAGAAGGCACAGCAGGGCCCTCGGCCACATGGCACATTTAATTCCAAGGGAAGAACACCTGACTTCTACATGCAGATCAACAAAGAAATAAATTAATAAAACCAAGTATACAGTCTGGTTCCTTTATTTAAGGCCATTAATTACATCATTATGGGCATCTCTGTTAGGGGACTCTCACAAAACTTCTGTGAGCCTGATCAGGAAGAGTGCCAAACTGCAGCCCTAGGAACACGGTCCCCTTTTAGGTTGGGATGAGGGCTTGGTTTCAGCAAGTCAGGGCTCAGATCTTCACAACAGCTGAGTGGAAAGCAGCTGCTAGAGCCAGACCTGTGAAAAGGAGGAAGAGGAGGATGCCCAGCAGAACCAGACCGGGAAGAGTGGAATAAAACACACAGAAGAACTAGCCCAGATCAAGTCAAAGTATGTTTATTCACATGAGGTCAGTTCAGACATGACCAGATTGCAAACCTTTCTCTCTCAGAGCACCCTGGAGAAATACACAGAACTGAGACCCCAGGACAAGCAGGAGGGCAGCAATCCCAAGCCTCAGGCACAACTCACTAACCAGGGGTGGCCCCGAAGCGCCGCGCGCTCGGATGCAGCAGCCCAGGCTCGGCGCTCCATCACTTCTGACACTTCTCAAGAGGGGACAGAACTGTTTACAGGAAACCATTTGTTACAGGGGCCAGCCTCTCCTCCCCTCCCCGACCCCAGCAACGTCCCTTCCCCACCCCACCTTTCATCAGAAGCTTATCTGCTGCCCGGAGAGGTGGCCAAAAAGTTCATCCAGGTTGGAATTTGAAACCAGAGATTCTCAGACACTGGGGCAACCATCAATTTTAGAACTAAATTTCAGGGAGTTTTCATTCTATTTGTATGGGGGCTAATGAGTAGCTTGGGATGTGAACACTAACCCCAGGGCATAATTCTGAGAGCAGGATGATAGATTCTCAGTCTCCTGCTCTAATTATACAGACAAAAATTGGAATGGAAATGAGAAGAGTCAGAAACAGGACTCACATCCCATATCAGCTTAACGGCATCATTTTCCCAAGCACTGAAATATTTTGAGTTAACAAAAAGATGCAACAATCACCTCCACCCAGAGAAAAAGACTCAAAAAAACTATAAAATGGGGTGAACTGGGTTCCACATTAAGCAAAGCCGTGCATGGAGACATAACTACAGAGGCAGAAATCATCAAGCAACTGGTCAAAGCTGCAAAACCGTAAGGCACTAATGATGTTCCACTCCTTACAATCAACACATGACTAAAAATTGACATTCATAATTAAAAAATAAAATCAATGTACATTTTGAAAAGGCAACGGTTCTCATTTAAAAAGTTTCAAATTCTCAGCTCCAACACTTTTGAAGCTCCCCACCTCCATCCAGGCACTGCTGACTAGCTAGACAGAGCGTTTGCTTACAAGTTCTGCATGTTAACACAGACCTGCTACAATGAAACATGTCAAGGCATAAAGACAAGACAAGGTTGTGAGAAGTTACTCAGTGATCCCATTATGATCACCAACAAATGTTAGAGGTGTCAGTTGGTCACCCCACTTAGCACAAAGCACTCCAACACCACCACACCAAGCACAGCCACTTGTTTTTAGTGCTTGCAGGTAGACTTGCATCTACCTTTCCCTTCAAGGTACGACTCAAGCTTCCAAACCCTGGAGCTTGAGGTCCCCCATGCAGCCATAGCCACAGGAGCATGAGGGGAAACAGCAGAAGTTGCTCATTAATGCTACTCCACAAGTATGCTTCAGTCCCTATCTAGAAGCCCCCGTCTGAGAGCAGCCAGGTCCCTTAAATTCCTTTAATTCCATTCTGATCCTTCTTTGCCAGAGATGAGCAATTGCCCAAGGAGTATGAAGTCAGTGACACCAATTTCCTTCAGAAGGTCACCTCATACTCATTTTGGTCAGTATTGGTCAGGTTCAATAAAAAAGTAGTGAAAGTATTTGTACCCCATTACTGATCCCTGAAGCCATTCAAGGCTCCTTTATACACAAAGGACCTATTAAGGCTTATTTCAGAGATTTCAGTAAAGTATTGCACACTATTTGTCTGCTTCAACAGTTAAAAAAATGAAATCTCATTTCTCAGAGATTAGTAACAATAAAAAATGTTAAAAACAAATACAGAGGTAACTTCTTCGTGTGACTCTACGGGAATATTTAACAGTTAATAGATAGGGGATAGCAGAGGTCTATCTGTGCAGAGATTTAGCAACAGCAGTTTTTAAACAACTGGACAGTATAAATCCCAAATAATTATTTTTGCCCTTTCTAAAAGCTAAAGTGATCTGAAATTTAGGACTATCCACAAACTGCACTGTATGATTTCACCAGCACAAAAGAGCATCAAGATTCATTGCAAGACAGCCTCCCAAAACCCGTCAGTTTCAAACAGCTGACTTTGGTCAGCACATCCAGAAATAAATAAGAAAAGGTACAGGAATGAGACACTCAACAGAAGACCCTGGCATGACTGCTGGAAGAGTCTGGGAGAGTGGGACAATCCATCAGTCCCACGGATTGTCTGGCTTAGGTGAGCAGCTCCATGACACAGGTGGTCTCAGGACAGGTATTTGGTGCTTCATGACTGAGCTCGCCTGAGGCGACTCAATCAAGTCTTGTGGAGTGGTTTTGAATCAGTCCAGACGTGGAGGATGGAACAAACATCGAGGGTTTTGGTGAGTGTCCCAGCTGCCAGTTGCACGGAGCAGTTTTGGTGAGTGTCCCAGCTGTCAGTTGCACAGGGCAGTTTTGGTGAGTGTCCCAGCTGTCAGTTGCACAGGGCAGTTTTGGTGAGTGTCCCAGCTGTCAGTTGCACGGAGCAGTTTTGGTGAGTGTCCCAGCTGCCAGTTGCACAGGGCAGTTTTGGTGAGTGTCCCAGCTGCCAGTTGCACAGGGCAGTTTTGGTGAGTGTCCCAGCTGTCAGTTGCACAGGGCAGTTTTGGTGAGTGTCCCAGCTGTCAGTTGCACAGGGCAGCCCTCGCAGGGGGAGCAGGAGTCACTCTGCCAGCATTCGCAGGCGCCGCTCGTGCAGCAGCATCCTCATCTCCCTCACTATCAACGGTGAAATGAACAGGATTGTTGAACTCGTCTGTGGAAAGAAGCAAATCCAGAACAATCAGCACAGAGCAACCAGAGCTGCAGCCATCCCCTGCTCCAATGTGCATGCACTGCCATCCCAGGAAGACACAGAGAAGCCGTGACAGACAGAGTGGCACAGCAGAGGAAGGACTGAGCTCGCAGGAAGGCTCATACCATTTCAGCTGTCATGATCAGCTTTTCATCAAGACGAGCTCTCCAGCTCCTCAGTGACCTTCCACCTTGCCACCTCTGCTGGTTACCAAAGTGGCCTTCTCCCTTGTCAGCACAGATGCAAAGACACCTCCTGGTTCTTCCAGCAGGGAAGACCAAGTAAGTTGTGCAGTGTTCACCAGTGTGGTGATGCTGAGGACACCAGGGCTTCAACAGCTCTCTGCCCCAGCAGCAAAACAGGGCCAAGGCATTTTCAGTTTAGTTTCAATACCCTTATCACTCTTTCCATTCATCTTCAAGACCTAATAAAAAGGAACCTAACTTCAACTCTCTGAAAACATTAGAAACCACATATCTCAGAGATGAAGGAGGGAGAAATCCTGCCTTGAAAGTCAGGTGTTGTGAGCTTTAGGAAATGCATACAGGTATTTTTGGGCAAGTGTTTTTGTCTCTCTGCTAAAACTTCAGCTCCTGTTGGGTAACATGACTTTAAAGGATCCAAAATTAACCCATTTGACTTGGACAACCTAAGTCAAAGCCACACCATAGGCCACTTCGAGAATGGCATCAGAAGTCACAATTCTCAGGTTCCCATAAAAACATCCTATGGCAAATTGAGCTTTGACAAAGAATTTTTTAAAAAGGTGATTTCTTACCATTAGAATGAAGAAATAGAAAACCCACATCCATCCCAGGTTCTCCTGGATCAAGGACACTAGATACTAAACAAAAAATGTAAAAAGTATTATTCAAACTGGGAAGATAAGCATGACATTTCAGACATTTCATTTTCTAGACTTTGTGGGCTGTTGGCACTCCACACAGAGCTGATCACAAAATCTTCCAAGTGATCTTTTCCTGTCAGAAGAGATGACTCAGGACAGCAGCCTTTTTCTGTATGAAACCCACAGTTTCAGCAAAGCAGAGACACCATCCTGAAGCTTTACAGTAACTCAGAACAGCACAAAGACAGAACTGAACTACAGTTTCAAAGGGTGACAAATTGACTCTGCTGAATACGAGGTTTTTTGCACAGAACACTGGGACATAAGTGGATGTAAGTACTCTCAGAAGAACTAAAAGCTCTAGAATGGCTTATAAATTACACAGGACACATTTTCAAGGGCTGTGCAACCAGTAACTACTTAACCCTTCATCTAGGCAAGACACTTGAGACTACATTCTGTTCTGGGCTGCACCCTGGCTCAATTGGGCAGCCCAGGCCACACAAGAAAATGCATCCCTTATGAGCAGATTTATATTCAGATGCTGCACAAGGGCCTCCCTTCTTCACCACTGGGTGTATCAAAAGAGGATCTGAATTTCTAACACGCCCATTGTGTGCTCGCTGTTGCTCACACACCCCCGGAATGACGTGGTGCTGTCTCTGCTGGAATAAATGCAGTGCTGGGAGGGAGGCAGGTGGAATCTCTCAGAACCAAAGACCCACTTTTTATGATGACGTGAGTTTGGGTGGTATGTGTGTGGGAAGACAAAAACGATGCCAGAAGAACACTGAGTGTAACAGTGCACTGAGATTTGTCCTCAAAGCACTTGTAATTTTCCATGTTCAGAGGAGATGAGCAGCATCTATCCTACAAAACAGTGACTGAATGGTTGTATTTATCAGGCAGTCAATGGCAAGCACAAACCCAAATCTCTTTCTAGAAAAGCAACTCACACACCTTGCCTGCATCATTGGTATTTTACCACCACTGGAGTAGAACTGGCTCTGATCTCTCTACTAAATCCTCCCCAAAGCACCACTGTGCTCTTTGACGTAGCTAACACTTGTATTTGAGAAGAAAACATCCCCTGTGGGCTGTCAGCTTCCTCCTCTGCAACCCTACTACTCAGACCTCTGGCAGCATACTGTAAGGACTACTGAAGCAAGTGGGGCTGGATTTACAAGGTGCAAAAGACATCCACAGATAAACAGAGAAAGCACAAATAAGAGCAAATTTTAAATCACTTCATAAACATTGTAACATTCATAATAGGTATTCCAATTTTAGTCAGTTATAGAGATACACTTTTCTGTAAGAGAAGGTTTTCCTATCACCTCAAAACTAAAAAACTCAAACTTCAAAATATTTTTGCACTCTTTGCAAAGCTTTTTGAAGTTCAGGATATCCAAGTCTGTAAAATTCACTTGAATTACCAAAGTGCCTTCACATTAGCATAACGAATACTTAGTTTAGTTCTTTATTACACTGTTTCCCCTGGAAACTTTGTTAAAACAGACAGATTCTCTTGGTCGGTTCAAAAGTAATTTTGCAAAAACCCCCAACCCGCTTTTTCCCCCCACACAACTCTGGATTGAGGAATGCAGTAACATCTGTAACCACAACAGACACTTTTCTTCCTCCCCCAGACCTCTCTTTTCCTTTGGCAGCCTCACCTGGCCCACAGCAGCACCAATACTGCCTGTTCCATCCACAATTCCTGTGACTGTAGCCAGAGCCTCACTGCTGCCTTTCACCACATCCTGACGCCCCAGGTCAGCAGAAATTGCAGAACTGATCATGTTAGAAGGGCCTCCGATGAAAAATCCTGAAAGGGACAAGAAAACAGCCTTGGTGCAAAACAAATACTCAGAAAGATTCTCAACAAAAACACTTTCAAAACACAGATTTTCTACCATGAAAGCTAAGGACAAGAATTAAGACTAAGGACAATGCTCAGAGACTAACTGCAGGTAGAGGGATACCTGAAATAGTCATAGAACACCCTAAATATCTGGAGCAGTCACACAGAAATAGCCAACAAGAACATTTTAATTAGTTTGGAGTAGCATACACCCATCTACAGCCTCAGTCTCCAAGGGTTCATGGAGGAGATGGAAGACAAAAAAAAAAAAAAAAAAAGACGACCCATAACAACAGGACAGAGAGTTCTGAAATAAGAGTGTTTGGAAAGAAAGGCTCTATTCATGCAGGCTTAATTCCATAACACAGCACAGTATGTGTGGTAGCACAAAAAGCTTGTGACCTCTCACAGCACACAGGGTACTTTGGATTCTGACAAACACCCTCAAATTTGAGCTGCAGCTCATGACTGCCATATATCCACTTCCCCAGATACCAGATCACTGCTAGGTATTTTAGCATAAATTCACCTCCATCATACTGAGCCAGGGCAGATCCCCTCAGCTCCAGGCCATTATTCTATATATTCATTATTCTATACCTCCCTCTGTAAGGCAGTTTTCCTACAGCTGTTTTCCAAAGGAAACAGAAACTGGGGCCCAGTTTTCACTCTTTCTGCAAAACCAGCAGAGATGGCAGCACACACAAACACCTTACCACTACCTAGCTGGTGTTCCTGATTGTTCTGCAATGGATTTAGATGCCTACCAGCATAATAGTGGATTTTGAGAACTTACCTGTAATTGCCATGATCACAGCATTAATAGGTTTGCTGTTTGGGGAACCTGCAAGAGAAAGACCAGGTGAGTGTAAATAAAACTTGAATAGTAAGAGGATCTTTCATCTATCTGGAGAAGTCAGACACAGCTCAAACTCTCTCATCATAAAGTATTCAGCACTTGAATCAACCTTTTCACTCTTTCGCCGTTTTCCAAAACATTTTTTAAAGTAGAGAGATTGGACCTGGAGGTAGCAACCCAGCAACTTCCCAAACAATGCTGTGCAATAAAGCAAAAACATGCAAACCCCCATATCCTAATTCCTCCTCACAAAGCCACGTCTGAATATCTACAGGCTTCCCTTGCCTTGTGTGTACATGCAGCTGGTTTTCCATCCCAGTCCCTCAGTGCCTTTCAGACACGTTTCCCTGGTGTCTCACTTGCAGGCATCACCTGAATTCCTCACTCTCATCCACTCAGGGCCCACACGTGGTGAGTTACTGCACAAGGCAAGGTGCACTCTCTTCACTTATTCTCAGCCATTACTACTCTCATGTGCAACACACTGTGGGCATAGTAAGGTTTCCTGTTTTGGCTGATGGAAGCTGAATTATCACAGTGCAGGAACTCTGGATCACTTGAGGCTTCAGTGTCTGCCTGGACTGCAGCACATTTTGAGTTAAGCACAAGGCACCTGGGGCTCTGAATTTCTGCTACCTAGTCACAGACTTCAAACCTCGTCAGCAATAATTTCACGTTTATTTCCAATTCACATTTTAAAGCAATGAGTTAGCACAAGAGCCTACAGAAACTTTACCAAACCCAATCCTTGCTGTTCAATAATAACTTATTGATCTTACTTTGAGACCATCTGAGTAAGCCTGCATGCTTCCAAAAGCCACACTTTTCATGTGCAGATCCAGCAGAGATTTCTACCCACAGATCTCAAAGTGCTGCATAAAAGTCTGTCTGGACCACCACCCCATTTTGGAGGAACACAAAGAGAAGTGAAATGGCATCCCAGTGAGTTAAAGCACTTTGTACCACAGGACATTGTGTGAAGACACAAACCTGTCACCCCTAGAAGTGCTTCATAGATGTTTCTCAGAAATTACATCTTCCCATTTCCTTACAATCTGTTTTCCTGAGATACCTTTCAAAAGCAGGACACCAAGTACTAAATCTATCATAAAAGAGGCAGAAACTCTCCAATTTCACCATTTTCAGAAGAGTAAGTAGTGAAGTCTAAGAAGCCTCTGAGTAGTGTATATAAACTCCAGGACAGATCTGGAGTCCACAGATTCTCTTTCCTCATAATATATGGAAGCACCCAAAATTTCTTGCTCTGCCAATTATGGTGTTGACACAATGACAATGCCAAAAAATCTCACTGACACTGAAGAAGGATCAGTGCCATAACTCAACAGTATAGGGAAATCCAGTCACTCAGAGAATTCATTTCCACCTCATTAACCAGAGAACAGATTTCTTTCTGTGCGGTGCCACACTTGAGCAAAACAAACCAAAAGGCACCATTCTGATCCAGAAGCAGTTTCAAGACCAGGAAAGATAATGAGAACAGGCTGTGCTCTGGTTCTCTCCGGGAGGAACTGAATGAGCCTCTTCTCCCTGTGTGGCCCACGTGTACTCACGGCTGTATCCAAAGAGAGAGCCCACAGCAAAGAGCAGGCTCACTGCCAGCACAGGGGCTCTCTTCTGCAGCACATCAGAAATCAAGCCCTGGATAGTCCCACCTGTTAAAAAAGAAATATCACTGTCAGGCTCAGGATGCTGATGCCTTGAACAAAGCTGATTTCACTGAGTGCAGTGGCCTCTGGCCTCCTCATCAATACACATTCCCTCTAAAATCCTGAGAGCTAAGCCTCCTACCCTTACTGCTCTGGACACAGAGATAACAGTAAATTTAAGTGTCTCAAGTAAAGCAGAGAAAACTACTCATACTGCTTGCTTTACCGGGATTTTTTTTTTCTGGCATGCCACTAGCCAGTGCTCCTACTTTTTTTTCTCTTCCCCTACAGGTCCATCACAGCTCTAAAACTACCACAACCCTGGACTAAGCAATCCGTACACTGGGGCTGGTTTTTTTAACTGAAAGTGCAAGAAAAGGCAGCTCTTTCTCACAGGAAAAACATTGTAACACAGGGGCCTCACATTCCCTGCTGTCTCCCCTACTTAGTGCAGGTGCAACTGAATGCAACAAATGCCAAAGGCCCATAAAAATCACCTTATGTACCATTGCTATCTCTGCAGGAACTGCTCTGCTGGTAAAAGCCAGAATGGTGAGAAAGCCTAATGCAGAAAAGGCCACAGAGGCAAAACCAGACCCTGAATGGAGCCAAACAAGGATGTCTATTTTAGGAAAGTTAACTGGACAAGGGAATAAAGCTAGAACCTGAGCACAGCAGAGTGGAAGCCTAAACACCTATACAATATATTCTTTATTCTGGAGGAACCAGGTCAGGTTATGCAGACAGCAGAAATAAGAGTAATTATGTTTAATTTCTGAACATAACACAGTTGGTGCCTGCTCTGCTGAGATCTGCAATGAGTCTCTCCTTAGAAACACTGCACAGACAGGAGAGTACAGAACTCACCAAGTCCAGATTTAAATCTTCCCCAAGGGTACCTGTCAGAAAGGAAGTAGCAAGCAGGGGCTCCATTTTGTACACAGAATTTTTCAGGAAGCCCTAGTCAGTGAAGAAAAATGCCAGCTGGGGGTAACTTTCAAGAGTAGGACAGTGCCTTGCAGTTATAGGTTAACTCTTTAGGGTGTCAAATACTTTGTGTTTAAGAAAAAAAAAAGCCAAGCAGCCACATACAAACCTAGACTTTTCCCACATTCAGTGAACAGCTAGATCCCACTGAACACAAGTGCTCTTTCAAACACTATGGAGGCAGCTGCATGAAGATGTCATTCCCCTGCTCACTCACCTATGATTCCTCCTACATCATACCAGATGGAGAGCTGGTCAGCTTCTGCTTCTTTCCATCCAAAGTTGTTGCTGAGGTAGAAGGGCAGCCAGAAGAAGAATGAGTAATTGACCAACTTCAAGCAGGCATAGGCCAAGGAGTACTGGAACAAAGAGAGGGCCAGTGAGCAGTTAGCACTTGAGAAATGCAAACAGCATTTCTGCTTATTCCCATAAAGCTCTGGATCCAGCTAAAGCTTTCAGGGGAAAGCATTTCTGAATTTCATGTAAGAAGGCAGCATCATGAAAGTTTAATGCTGAACATCAAAGGGAACCCAGGAATACAAAAACCACTGTCAAGAAGGATTTTTTTTTATCACTGAATGCAATGGGTTAAAACACTTTCAGTGTAATCTTGAGAGGAAGTGACACCAGGCTTCAAAAAACGAAGAAAATTTAATTCACCTTCTGAAGGGAGCCAGCCATGTGACACAAAACTGCTTGAGATTTAGTCATCTGTGCATCATGCTGAGAAAAGTTATGTGAAGTAGTTCCTCTGTGCTATCTTGTGCTGCTCAGAAGGCTCATCTGCTTACAGCACCAGAAGAGAAAGCTTTACTCATATCCCCAGGCAGGTATTCCAGGACATGGGATGAAAGATTTGACCAAAGCTGAGCACAGGCTTCCCAATCCAACAGCTGAGACAACCTTCTTTGGGCTGCTGGGCTCAATTAGTCCTTGGCTAGCAGATCTCCTCCTTCAGAACTTTCATGTGTGTGGCAAAGATTAGTTCTCAGGGACTGCTGGCCCAGCATGCTGAGGGACAGGTCACCCTACCTCAGTAAAGGCAGCAGTTCAAGGAACCCATTGGAAGAGGCAAACAAGGATGAAGGTGTTAAAGCAGAGCCTTTGAGTCTCTGTGCAAATGTGCATATGGATACTTGACTCCGAATTTCAAAAAGCAGATCTTTTTATATATTAAACTCCACAAAATCATCTCTTCTGAACTTATATTATTTTAATAGATACAGACTTCTTAGCTGTATTATTCATGCTTTTTCACTCTTACAGGACACAAACTGATTTCCAAAATACATGGAAGACATTGGGATGTTTGGTAGGACTCTCCTGCCTCTGGGTGTGAAAAGTGCACTGTACAAAGTGCAAAGTGATATTTATTACAACACACTAAGAAACTGTCTACCAGATTGTCTGAGTGATTAAACATTGAATTCCTAGAGGCTCAGGGGAAAGCTGTCTGTACTAAAACTCTTCCACTGTATCACTCAGCAGGAGATGAGAGGAGCTACAGAAAAAACATGTCAAATAAATTCTTTGTAGAATCTTGACAAGGCTTTGGAGATTCTCTCAGTATTTGGTCTCTCGCCAATCTGACATGGCATCCCTGTTTGGCTGAGCTCTAAGCTGACATCAGATAAAACTCAGACACAGAGGTGTTCAGGTTGCTGGATTAGGGTATGGAACATGTCCCCAACACCCAAATTTCAAAGCCAGCAACCTCAGTTGCTGCCATCTCCTTTTGCTCAGTGAAAAAAGTCACACATCAACTGAGGCACACACCATCACTAACCTTTCATGTGAGGCATTTAGCCAGAGTAGGAAAGAACTCAAGATGAGCTTGCTTTCTTTTGCTATCCCTCAACTAAGGCCTTAACAACAGGACTGTGGTTGTCCTGTACACTGACAATGCACCCATCCCTTCTAGATTTTCTGCTGCCTTAATCACAACAGCCAACTGCTTTGCTCGTTAAGGGTACCTGACAACACTGCCCATTCAGTAGTTCTCCTCCATGACAAACCCAGGCAGTTCCCACTGTTCTGCTGAGCAGCCATTCTGCCCCCTTTCTTGTACTGGTCCTAGTGTTCACGGGGCACACAGCCCACTGATGCAGAAGGTTAACATTGTTTTTTAATGACAGGTTAACTTTTCAGCTGAACATCCACTGGGCAATACTGCTGGTACAGAAGCACAAGTTTTCAAGGGACAGGAAAAGGATATGTGGAAACTGCATCACCAGGCCTTGTTTCCTGCTCTTCATAAAACACCCTGCACACTTTGCCACGTTACATCATGCTGATTGAGGCTTTTCAGGCCAACTTTCTGCTTTAAGATAACTAAAAAACTCCAAATCAGTGCCACAGAGCTCTGTGTGATGCTCAGTTAGGAGTGAGAACCCCACTCCTCAGGGCAGGCACCTATCTTACCAACCTTTGCTCATGGCCTCCCTTGCAAATTCACAGCAGAATGGGCAGGATCTTTCTGCTTTAAAATAACTTTAAGCAGCTTTCTTTTCTTTAAGATAAGTAAAAAACTCCAAATCTCAGTATCAATGCCACAGACCTCTGTGTGATGCCCAGTTAGGAGTGAGAATCCCACTTCTCAGTGCAGGCATCGTTTGCTCATGGCCTCCCTTGCAAATTCACAGCAGGAAGGGCAGCACCTCTGCTGCCCTTCACTGGCTCATTAAATGCACTCCATGAAGCAGGATGGGAAGAGCAACACACACCACACACCCAGACAGCATCATCCATGCACACAAGGATAACAGGCCCAGCCCCAACATTTTAACAGCATGAGACACCAGATACCAACCACTACAACATATGGTCAACATATCAACAATGATGTGAACAAATCCTGACAACACAAAAAGCCAGCTTTATGTTCAACAGCTAAGAATTTGTGTCCTCACCAGTACTACACCAGGAAGGCAACAAGCCTGGAAAAAGCCAATGGCCTTGGGTTCTTCGTCATTGTCAGCTGCTTGAATGGAGTAATTCCTGTCATCATCATCTACATCATCACTGCCCATCAGGGGTCTGTTGGCATCTTCTTCCACACTGACTTCGTCTTCATCTGCTCCAAGCTCAGGGAGGCCTAAGTTTTACAAGGAATAAGCAACAGGAAAAACAGACCAGAGCCTGTTCACCCTCTCCCCACTCTAAAGCTATGCTCGCTTCTTTTAAGCAATTCTACCTTCTAGCAATTCCCTTCTCTCCCATACCTCCATCCTCCTTTGGCTTAGAAACTCTTCTAGATGGTGTTCTGCAGTGCCGCCAGTTTCTACCCTTTGTCTTCTAGGGCTCTTGAAAGTATTGTGTGATCCTGGCGTCGCCTTTGTCTGTTCTGAGTGTCTGGCCATTAGTTGGAAGACACAACAAATTAGTGCATTTCCCCCTCACTGAGGGGTTGGGATCCTCAGCCCTGGCTCCTGGGTGCCACGTCCCTAGAGTGTGGAGGCTGAGAGCAGCAGCAGGGACTCAGACACCTGCTGCCTGTTATTGCCTCTGCTGGAATGGAAGGCCTGGGAACTGCATTGTGCTTCCTGGGATGCAGAGCACTCTTATGAGCACGCTTTATGGCAGCTTTAGAGCTCCCAACTTTACAGCCTTTACAGGCACCTGGGAAACCTCCTCCACGGCCCTGTCAAAGCCCCATAGTTCTTTTGTTTTCCTGCTGCACTCTGACTTGCCTGCCACCTTCTCAGAGAAGAAACACGTGCAACCCAAGAGTTATTTATCTGGCTGTGGGAGACCTGCAGACCAAAACTACTTTCCCTTCCCACTGCACACTTAAGGCTTACTATAGTTTTCCCCTACAATAGCTAGTTATCGGTTTGCCTGGTGTTTCCTTAACAGATACTCATGTTCCAAGTGAAGAAAAACTGATAATTAGGCATATCCTAGTGGAGATGTTAGAACCAGGCTGTTTTATTTTGCTTTAAAAAATATCCAGACCCTATTCACGTGATGCGTGGCAGCATTTAGTGTGATCTTGGCAAGTAAAGCATTTACTCCATTAAATGCACTAAGATGCAGCACCATTTGATAAGAGCCCTGAGGATAAATGCTGTCAGAATGAATAGTACTACATGGAAAGCTGCAGGTCTGCTTTTCATGAAGGGACTGAAATAGCACAGCTCTTCCACTCACCCACTTCCTTTGGCGACGTCAGGAGCCCGAAGAACACAATGACTCCACCAGCAAACTGCACTGAGGCAGTCACCAAGAAAGCATACTGAGGAGAAATAAATAAAACATTCTTTTTTAAAGCACTTTCAGTCACATACACCTCCCTCTCTAATGAGGGTTTCTTTACACTCCAACCCCGCGAGAGAGCAAACACAGCTACAGCCCAGACTGCATCCATGACACTTGGAAACAAGTGATCTCTGCATCTCCTGAACACACTTGGTCCTAGCTAGGCCCATCTGCACTGAGCAAGGAGCTGGGCCAACACAACCAGAAATCCAGCCAGCTCCACTGGAAGACACTGCTAAAAGAAGAGTCAAACACCAAATTTAGACAAAGTTGCTCAGAGCTTTGGTCAATCAGATTCTTGAAATCCTCCAAAGACAGATCCTTCAGGCTCTGTCCCCTTGCTCCACTGCTTAACATACATCATAGGAAAATGGTCTTCCAAACATCCAAATGGAACCATCCCTGCTTCACTTTATACCTACTGCTTTTTTTTTCCTCTCACAACGCATTCTGGACAAAGTCTGGCTCTGATTTCTCAGCAATCTTCTCCCAGGCTTTGGAAGGCTGTTCTTGGTACTCTAAGCCTTCTCACGTCCAGAGTGACCAGCTCAGCTCTGCCAGCCTGTCCTCAGAGGCCCCATGCTATGAGATGTGCTGGGTCACTCCCATTCCCTATGCTCAGGTGTCCACTGCCACATGACAGCCTGGCCTCTTCCCAGTCACAGCAGCTATGCCTCCATGCCCTTCCACCTCCAAGGACTCCAGTCAACTCAGAACCTGTGCTGGATGACTCTGAAGGGCACTTTAAGCCACTCAAATCAGAAGAAGGTACAATTGACGCCAGAGCTCCTCAATAACATCAGTCCCTTTTACAGAGGACTCATTTCTGCCAGCCTGGAAGAGTCAAGAAAGGAGCAGCCTTTCTATTCTGCCTACTGCTTACCTCCACAGAATTCAGGGAGATGAAATTGGACACATGAGGTTGTTATCTCTCAAGGACAGGATAAGAGACCAGTGTCTCATAACCCACTCAGACATGCAGGTGTAGCCAGAAGCCAGGCAGCAATACCTACCTCATAGCCATATTTGAGAACACAGGAGGCAAGGAATGCCCCAAGGATATTTCCCACAGATGCACAGGCACTCCAGAGTCCAAAGACAAAACCCCTCCTGCAGAAGAGGAAAAAGATTTGAAGCAGGCAGTGCAAGGACAGATGACATTAAAAACAAGACAAAAACAAAACATTCAAGTGAACTTTAACTTATGAATAAAGTTACACCATTTTCCCTGACCACTTTAAAGAGACTCAAAGGTCATTTAAAACAAAACACACCATAACTTGGAAGTGCCAAATAGATAAGCCAGGAACCCTGAAACATCTGTGTTAAAGGAGAGTGAGCTGGCAACAAGGTTACAAACTATGACTAGAGCTCATCTGCATACCCCAAATTGAGAGTAGAGCCTAGGATGACTCAGTTACCATTTGCTCTCTTTATGGCTAAGTAGATAGAAACAAGTTTTTCAGTGGTATGAAAATAATACTTCAGTCCACTGTACACTATGGGATTTTTGAAATTTGAACCTGTGCTTTTAACACACACAGTTGTGTTCACACCAGGCTGTTCTGTAGCTCCAGAAAAAAGTGAAGGAGTGAGAGAGGGAATGTAACAAGTAAGGCATATTCCATTCTACCTAATTTTAATTGTGATCTAACAGTTGACCTTTCTGGTTTGAGAATTTCAGCTCAATCTTTTACTCAGCAGGTCAGATAAGTGAGTCACTGAAGAAAACTTAACTTACCCAGCTTTTCCAAACCAATTTCCCATGACAGCAACCACACAGGGCCAGCCAGTGGACTGCAGCAAGCCATTCACAACCCAGAGACAGCAATAGAACCACTTGTTGTAGAAATGCAACCACTCTGTGAGTGTGCCAAAGGAGAATTCCTAGAGGAGAGCAGGGGGAAAACAGAGAAGACACCCTGAGGCTACTGCTGAAAGACAGGCAGGAGTGGGGTGCTAAAAAAAGGAACAAGCTTTCAGGGAGCTATGCAGGGGCCAGGGCAGAGGCCAGGCTGGCATTGTTTGAGACACAGCACAGGGCTCACAGCACCCTCTGCTGAGCCAGCACAGCTCTGACTCCAGAGACAAACCTGCTGTCATGGCACTTCCTCTCCAAAACACTTTTGTCTCCCCAAACAGCCCAGTTATAACAGGAGATGAGAAGGAAGACACAAATAGTTTCAATGACAACACTAAAAATACAGTAGCCTCTTGATCTGCCCTTGTACTGACATCCCAATTCGTGAGGCTCTCTGCAAACACAGAACCCTCACAGGTCATGTATCTTCACCAAATTCAACACAAATACTACAGCCAGGTCTCAAATTACTAAGTGCTCTAACCCAAAAAACACATACTTGTAGCACAGGATGCTTGATGCACACTTGTAGTCATGTGTCTGCAGAGCCCAACAGACCACAGTGGGGTTTGTAGCCACTGGCAAATCAAATACACTCCCCACATTTCACTGCTACTTTAATAACCAGAAAACCACGAGATAAAACTGATTTACACTTCTCTGAAGTGGCTTGAACTTGAACACAAAACACCTTTTGTTTTAAGCAGACATTCTTTATTGACACATAGCCCCCTAGCAATTACATAAAATAAGTAAATGAGTGCCTGGTATTGTTAGGATGTCCTTCAAAGAACAAAGCAAAGACTGTGTTTGGAAGCAAAAGCCTCCATAACAACATACATGGTCTAAGAGATTAAGTTATACAACAAAACAGTCCCCAAAAGCCCAAATACACCAATCTTGAACAAACACTGTTCAAGTCTCTAGACAGTGTTTCAAACTTAAGAATTTCCTTCTAACACAGTGTCCACAGCTAGACATTCCAGGAAGGGGAGAGTCATCTATGCTCAGTGCAGCACATGCATCCAGCACAAGTTACACCTGCAGGCTTTGAGACCACTGAGGTACAGCTACAGCTCATGAGCAGATCCACACAATAACAGAGCCTCTTCTCCCCTACAGCAAAACTCTACCCAGAAACCCTCAGGCAGACTTTTAAATCCCACTATTATGTTCCAACTTACCACCAGAGCAGAGGAACACATGCCAAAAGACAAAACCCAGCGCAAATTGAGGCGGTCCCCAACTATGCCACTGACAAAGAGACCCTGAGAACAAAACACAGCATTAAATCAAGCCAGAGGATTTGCACCTTACAGCTGTAAGAATTAAAATTACATAGAAAGGCCATACTAATCCAAACACTGCTGTTATACCAACTTACAGTTTGATTCTAAACACTTCTCCTGCCACCAAAGAAACCCTGCCTTGTAACTGCTCATTACATTTCTTGTTTAAAAGAACTCAGCTGATAACTCTTGGAGAGACAGAACTAGTCCTCCCCAGTGACAGGGGTGTAAGAAATTCTGAATTGATAATATTTCCCTTGTGTTTGTTAACAAGCATCTTCACATGGGTGACAGGCATGGGCAGAACTAACAGAAACTGAAAGAGACAAGGTTTGCCTCTGAACTAAGCTTTTTATTGTGGGTGTGATCTTCCCACTAAGAGTCAACCAAAGCTTAGCAGCTTGGGGTTAATTTTACTCACCACAGCATAGGAAAACAAAAATATGGTGTCCAATGTCCCCAGGAAGAGAGTTGCTTCTTCTGCACTTGGAAATAAATGGCTGCTGTTCCAGAGCTACAGAGGGAAAATTATGACAGGTAAACAGGGAGAGGCACAGCTCATTCTACTCTTTTTCAATGGAAACCCCAGCTCCAAAGTAGAACAGTATCTGGCCCAAGCAAGCTCCTATTTCTCCAACACTTCAGTTATCAAATCAGGAACAATTTGGCATTATCTTCTGGCAGAAAATGCCCATTGACACTTTGCTTCACTTCTAAAATGCAAGCTGGCAAACTAGAAGTGAGAAATGCTCCTTTCACCTAGATCCAGAGAAATGAGTGGCAAAACAAAGCCTAATTCAAACAAGCATGCAACTGCTAGACAGCTTCTTACTCTGAAACACTGATGAGCATTTTAATGAATAATACAATAAAGGCATATTCTGTTTTATGTGCAGCATTTCTTCTGTACTTCCCTTGCTGTCTTCACTAAATGAATAATTCCCTTAAAGTATTTGTGGCAGCAGCCAAAATAAAAAATGACAGAAAACAAACAAAAAAGAAAGAGCACAAAAGAAACAAGAGGAAGAAATAGACTGCTTGGAAACTATTTACAACAAACCCCAGTCACTAATGTTGGGTTTTGTGTTTACCCTGAGTTTCACTTTGGTTTCAATATGATCAAAAAAAAAGGAAAAAGTCTCACTTGTCCCCAGAGAAAGACTAGTGATATCAGGTAAAAAAATAGCAAGCTTTGAGGAAAACCTGAAGAATGAATAAAGTTAATCAACAAAATCTTTTTCCCTTCCCACCATGCCTCCATTAGAGAACAAACAAACCCAACCCAAGCCCAACCTACAGATGTGCCTAACTCAAATATCATCCGTTTCAGCTTGATTCTATCTCTTCAGGAAAACATCCTGTACAGACAACACTAATCATACATCCAGTTAGTTTAACAGATGTAACCTAAATTGATACCTAAAGGACCAGTTTGACCATTTTTCTTGATCAGACACATGCATCTCAATATCCACCAAACACCAAATTATCCATATTTAAAAAAAAAAGTCAAACCAGCTTCCAAAATATATTAGTTGTTTGAATGTTAGTTAAAGAACTAAATAGAAACACCTTGCATTTCATTTTAACATCCCTGAGATGCTCACTACTTTTGGCCGTACTGTAAAATCCTGAATACATTACAAGCCAAATTTACTGGTTTTAGTTATCACAAGAAGTCTACACTTATCATCATTCTACTCCTTTTGTCAAACATTCTAATAATCAATGATTTCTAATGCAGGCAATGCTCCAGCAGCTGACTTGGAGCTCCCAACTCTAATAGATCTCATGGCCTGTGACCAAGCTTTTAATGTGAGATTTCTTCCAGCTCTCAAAAGCATCAGGACAAAGCATTACAAAAAACAAGCCCTAAAATCCCCATGGTAGGAAGCAGGAGATAGGTCTTGCATTCCCATTTGTGAGAACCAAGCAGTTTAAAACATTCTTTCCTGCAAGCAAGCACTGCCAAAACACCCACTGCTTTAACTGAAAACCAGGATTTTATAGACAGGGGGTACTGGATGTTCAGCCTGGAAATCAGGCCTTTTAAATGCAAGATAAAATGTCATTCTTCACTATCAATTTAGGATAAACAGCTAGCACTGTTAGACAGCTCTCTTCTTTCCTAGTTTGACTATCCTTTTAAGAGGGTGGCAGCAGCACCACTGCCACAGAGAAAGCACAGCCAGGATTTCACAGAACTCTCTGTATGCCCATTAACTGCTTTGGTTTATTGCCTCCAACACTTCAGAGGGACAGTCCCTCTTCCCCCTCTCTGTGCTACTGGCTATTGCAGACTCTTCTGGGCTCCCATTTCCATTGCAGCATTAGTTTCTTGAGAAGTTTCTCTCTGGGCACCACTAGGGAAGATTTCAGCATGGCCTGGTGATCCATAAAACTACAGTGCCAACACCTGAAGTTTCCACTAGCACTCTGAGAAGTGAGGGACACCTAAAGGGGCCTCTTCAGCCCCACAGGCTCAGCCCACTGGCAGCTGGCCACCTTTCCTGGCACTTCCTTGTCCCTTGTGTCCTTACCTCATATGGCTGGAGCTCGGGGGCCGTGCTGTTTAGGCAGGAGGGAGTCCATTGGCTGGAAATGCTGACTTTGACATTACTGAATGTCTTTCTGGAGGCATGGAGCAGGGAATAACTGCCAGAAAACACACAGACACAGGCTGGCCCAATCTCCTCTGGAGGTCAAGGGGGAAAGGGTGGAAATACAAATCTCTGAGCAGAGAGAGGTACACTCAACCTACCTGAAGAAGGTCAGCAGGAACACAACAATATGATGGTGTGTGCAGTGGGACACAAGGCCTCTGTTGGCAGGCTGCCTCCGTAAGCTTCCAGGCACAGCCATGCTCCTGGCAGCCCTACCCCTGCTCCTGCCTTGGCCACGAGGGCTGGATGGTGATTAAGTCATTTTTCTTCTCACTTAAAGAAGAAGGTGGGAAGGGAGGAGAAGAGAAAACCAATTTGAATTAAAACACGTGTGTGAAGCACAGCTCTGCTCCCCAAACAGCTCGAATCCAGACAGGACAAGTCTGTGCCGTGCCTTTCCAACTTGTTTCACACCACTGCCGATCTCATCACTTGTACATTCCTCAGTAACTTCTACAGCTTAAGGTGTCTTGTTATTCCCATTCTCACAGTACCCTCGTGGCACTTCTTTTTTGTTTCTCTCCTAGAAGATGCCTCTTCAGTGCCCAGGACCAAAGGAGTACCCCCTGGATCTACCAATTTCCAGAATTCTCCCATTAAAGACCACTGTGAACCATTTACACACATGGTGCACTACAGAGTCCATAAACAAGAGCTTTCCACTGGCTCTACCCGGCTGGACACAGACAGGTGATGAAGCCACAAGAGCAGCATTTGGCTATGGGTGGAGAAGGGTTTGGGATCCAACTGCCTCATTAAGATGCTGTAGGAATACACCTAAGAGTGAACTCGCATAGATGGAAAGAGGGAAGTAACTGTGGATAGTGCTGAAATCCTTGCCTCTTTATTCTCAAGCCTGACATCACAGCTCTATCTGTCCCTAACTCATTAGCACAGCACACAAGTCACACCTTCCTGTAGGACATGGGTGATACCTGCCTCAACCTGGAGACCACCAGAAACTCTCAGTACTGAGGGAAGGCTATGATAGACCTCAGACCTCAACTAGACCACACTTTCCTCATGCTGCTCCATGTCACACCACTCCAACCCCCGAGCTGTGCTGGCATGGCCAAGGGATGATGTCTGCTAACAGATTTTGGGAAACAGCCCCACTGGGCAATGAGGGGGTGAATCTCACTCCACACATTTCAGAAGACATGCCAACACCACAAACATTCTGCATGCTGAGAAGAGGTAAAATAAAGCACCACTCCTGTTCCCCCAAAGGATCAGCACTGAAATAAGACAGAATATAATGCCTTTGTGTCCTTTTGTATCCACAGGCACTGTTTGTAATTATTTGCATATCTGACAGAAGACTTCTCAAGTTCAGCTTCATAACCTCACTTGGAAAAAGTAGAAGTCATTGCCCAGACAGTCCCTCATCCAAATTTCTGCTGCTGAAAACCCTTTATTTCACACACACTTTCTATTCCCCGTTTTAAAGGTTTCACCAAGACACCTTTCCCTGCAGGCAGTCTCCCTTCCCTGTTCTCTCAGTGATGACACGCCTGACCAACAGCAATATCCAGCTCCTGCTGGGTATGTGAACCATCGTGGAAACTGACATCACACCTGACCTCCAAAACAGAGCGTGGCATGGAGATCCTCTGAGTAACAGGGACCCAGCTACGACAGCTCTGAGACACTGGAGTCACATTTATCCTACACCACACCTGAGCACCTCCATTCTCATCCAGGACAAATGCAAGCTCTGTACAAGACCTGACACCATCTGTCTCTACACAGCCCAGGGGCTCTTGAGCCACAGTGCCACTGCTCCAGCTGGCACACAGCACCAGGGACACGTGTCTAGACTGCTTGGCTTCACACAGAGGGGAAAAAAGTGCCTACAACTGGAGCTGTGAGAAGGCAAGACTAGCCCTGGAAGGGGCAACTTTGCGAGTAGTCTTGATACTCCCTTCACCTGAGGACCCAGAGCATTGCTCAGCACCAGTGAATGAACTCAGCACCCACACAAGGATCACACAGTGCTGCTCCCTTTCAGGCAGCAGTAACCCTACGGCTCAGGGCTGTCCCCACACAAGCCAGGTGGAGAAGCCAAGCCAAGGCACTCCAGTTTCCCAGTTCCATGGTCCTCACAGGCCTGTGAGCCACACGGTGTGCTGGTCAAACACAACAGCTTCCTTGACTCGCTGTCCCCTCCCACCAGGCAGATAACAGAGCTGTCCTGAGGAAAGCAAAACACTGTGAGTTGTGCAACGCTGTGGGGAAAAGTTCCTTCCTTGGGTAATCAGTTTGCAGCCCAAAGCACAAGATTTACTACTTGCTTCATGTCAACATGTGCAAATATAGATCTTATTTGTCCAAGATACTGAGTCCTTTTAAAACTAAGGCCTGGTTTGACCTTAAAGTCACCTATTTTTTTTTCAACAGCATTTACTACTGAAACAATCTGTTCCTCAGAGCTTCCCAATCTCAGCTGGCTTTCTACAAGACTTTCTGGCACAGGACACTTTCACAATGTAGAGATAACCACGATTTTGTTTTCCCCTCCTTCCTCATCCTGCCCTTTCTATATTCAAAACTGGCATTCTTCCTTGGCTAGAAAAGTCTGCAACCAGTTTCTTCTTTAAAATTAGTCTTCTAATTATTGTGAGAACACCACAACAACTTCGTGGTGGAAGAGGAGCAAAAGCTCGGCAGCAGGATGACCCACAGAACTTAAGACAGTGAAGCACATGCCTTTAAGAAAGGAAGAGGAGTGCTTTTAGAGTGTTAGACTGCCTTGGTCAACTATTTAGCACTATTTACCTTCAGCCAGCCGGTATTTTGAATAAGCTTTTGATAGGCTTTCACCCTTATTTGTTAAGCTTTCCTCGGTGTTCTACCTTGTCCTTTCACTTAAAGTCAAAATAAGACACCTTAAGTTCAAAACAAACACCCTTAATGCTACCCTACTGCCCTCCAAAGCCGGTAGGATAAGCGCAGCCTTAACATTCCAAAGTGCAAAACAAACGAAGGGATTTTTTTTTCTTCAAAATAACAAGAATTAAAAAAAAAAAAACAAAACAACAACCAAAAAAAAAAGAAGCCCAAGGAAAACCCAATTAAAACCCAAACCGACAAACCCCCAGGCTCCTAGGTGATTTTCCCAATATGAAAATTGAAATTTTCCCAATAAGAACAGGGGCACAACCCCGAGCCCACCCAGGGCCCCCCGCAGCCAGCCCCAGCAGACCGTGTGTCACCGCGGATGCCCGGCCAGCTGCTGTCCGGATAGAAGGACAAGGGGCTGTCCGAGCACCCCAATGCTCCGGCAACGATCCGGGCTGCCGGGGGAGCCCGGGCACGGCCGCCCAGCCCAGCCCAGCCCAGCCCGGCCCGGCCCGGCCCGAGGAGGGGGCGAGGAGGAGGACGTGGCCCCAGCGCCGGGAGGGAGCCGCGTCCTGGGCGGGGCGGGGAGCGGAACCGAGCGGACAGGGCAGGGCAGAGCAGGGCCTGGCCCAGCTCCGGCACCGCCGCCCCGGCCCCGCGCCTCAGCCCCCTCAGCCCGGGGAGCCCCAGCCCCGGCCCCGGCCCCGCGTACCGTGCAGGCGCCCAGCGCGGCCGGAGGAAATCGGCGGGCGGGGCGGCTCTTCCGGGCGGCCCCGCGGAACGCTGGGAGCTGTAGTCCAGCCGGGGCCCTGCCCGCCCTCTGTGCGGGGCGGGAACGAGCGGCTGAACGGCCGAGCCCGGGGCGGGGCGGCGGTGAAGGGAGGGGAAGGGGCGGACTACAGCTCCCGGCGGCCCCGCGGCTCCGAGCGGCGCTACCTGAAGCGGCAGGGGCGGCAGGTGAGCGCCTGGCACGGGGCTCCTTCCTCGGGCCTGCGGCTCCTCATCCCCCGCCTCGCCGCGGGCCCGCCCGGCAGCCGCGATGCCGTTCCCCGGCTCCGGCGCGGACGATGCCTTCGACTACCTCTTCAAGATCATCCTGATCGGCGACTCCAACGTGGGGAAGACGTGCGTGGTGCACCGCTTCAAGACGGGGCAGTACAACGAGAAGCAGCAGAACACCATCGGCGTGGACTTCACCGTGCGCTCCATGGACATCGACGGCAAGAAAGTGAAGGTCGGTGTCGGGAGCGAGCCCGAGCAGCACCTTAGCCGTGCCATCCTCATCCTGCCCGTGCAGGTGCCGGGATGCGCAGCTCCTCCTGCTCGGCCCTGCTGAGCAAAAGCTCAAAATTCGGCAGAAAGCTGACTGCCTTTCTTAGCAGGGGTGTTTCCCAGTGCAGCTTTCTCTCAGGAAGATGCCCTGGGGGAAGCAGTCACCCTAATTTGGGTGCGTACTTGCCGTCGTGACTTCTCTGCACCTGCTTGAGGAGAGGGCCTGTGCTTTGCTTGCAGGAACTTCTTGGGAAGGCGGCTGTAGTTTGGAGGGGATGTCTCTTCCCTCCAGAGATATGGGAGTTTGAGCTGGGACACCAAGGAGGTGTCTCCCAAGTTTGCAAAGGCTCCGCTTTGATTTGTGCTTAATTTGAGGGAAGAAGACTTCCAAGATAAACACCAGAAGAAATTATCAGCTAGAACTTCCCTCTGTGTGCAGATGAAAGATAGGATGACTGGCCTTTATATATAGATTTATTCTGCCCAATCGTTTATTAGGGTTCTTTGCTCTTCTTTTGCTATCAATACAATGTTCTATATCTTTTACTACAGTTGTTGAAAATGGGTTTCTTGGCCTCTTTACAAAGCAGGGTTTACCCTTGGAGCTTTCTCTTTGGTCTGTGTAGATTGACTCTACAGACTTGTAAATGGCTTTTCAAATCTAGAGAGGGCAAAGCCACACTAGAGTGAGCTGGGACAGGTCTGGTTGCCTTCTAGACAGAGGGCCTCAAATGCTGAGAGTAAGCACCTAGGAAAATGATATTCACTGCTCTTTCCAACTTCTGTCCTTTCTCTTACAGATCCAAGTGTGGGACACAGCCGGTCAAGAGCGCTTCCGGACAATAACCCAGTCTTATTACAGGAGTGCCCATGGGGCCATCCTTGCCTATGACCTTACTAGGAGGTCCACATTTGAATCCATTCCTCATTGGATTCATGAAATTGAAAAGTATGGTGCTGCAAACTTGGTCATGATGTTAATTGGTAGGATTTTAGTTTTAAATATTGTGTTATGTGGATTTTTGATATGAACATAAAATCTCCCTCATTTCCTACCACTACTTGAAGCATCTATACACTATGCATTAAGGAAAGATTCAGTTCTAATTAAAATAGATCACAAAGTGTGTCAATTCAGCCTAAGCTTAAAAAAATGAGGAAAGTCATAGCCTGGTCCTGACAGGACCAAACTCATTGCAGACAGGAAACCTTTTTTCAGTTGTTCCTTTCTTGTTGGAATACCACAACAAGCTTTGTTGCCAGGCTGGAGGCAGGGATCACCTTGTTGAGGTTAGAATTGCAGTAAGCCTGACCCCTCCACTCCCGATGCACAGGAATGTAGCAGCTCAATAATTCAAGCCGAAGGGGAATGCACAGACTCCTGGTTCTCATCTTTCCTCTCTGTTCTCTTGATATGCATGCGCATTGCTCTGTAATGGGATTCCGAGCAGGTAAGACAATAGATGGGGAGGTGGCTTTTGCAGAGCGTGGAATGTTCTGCTTGCATTCCACTAGCACTCAGGAAACTGCCTCTTTGAGGAAAGCAATGTCTGGGAATTGTCGGGAATGGAGCTGGTAGGAAGCCGCGGTTCCTTTCCCTTGGGTTTCATGGTTATTATTGCTCTTCCTTCCCCCAAGGAAGAAGCTGCAAATGAGAGCAGTGGTGTGCTGAAACACACCACGGGTCTGGCGTGGCCAGAGCCTTTATTGCCCTTATTTCCATTTCCGTGGCCGAGCCTGTTGCAGTGTGCTGAGAGCAGCTCAGCAGCCGGGGCTGGGGCAGCGCTGAGCCCCAGCAGGGCCCCTGAGCTGCTGCCTCTGCTCCCAGCACCCTCCGTGCTTATGCTGCAAAGGTTTCTCCTGTCCTTCCTCTGCAAGAAGCACAAGATAAATTCTGACCTGCATCTAATGCAGTGCTTGCAATTAGGGGCGGGGATGTGTAAATCACTGCACTTCGCCCGGGTTTTTCTAAATTCTGCCATGAATCTAAAGAAAGAAACTCTGTGTGGTAGTGGTTGTTGTTTTGGTTTTTTTTTTTTAGAGAGATAAGTTCTGAAATTAGTAAAACTAAAGCTTTTGTTAAGGATCCAGCTTGGTGCTTTCTTCCAAAGCTGGTGCTGTTTACTTTACTTACATTGGCAGAAGTCGTTGTACATTTAATTACGCTTAGTCACGTTATACACCTTTCTAGCAGGAGGTTAAGGTTAAGAAACCTAACTTTCCTATCTGGAATTGAAGGAGGAAAAGGTGGTTGGGTTCCTTTTTAAGAAGGCAAATAACTCTCAAGCTGGGGGGGTTTTGGCCCTTTTTTTTTTCTTTTTTTTTTTTCTTTTTTTTTCTTTTTTTTTCTTTTTTCTTTTGTGAGGTAGGTTGGTTTTGTGGTTTTTTTTTTTCTTTTAGAAATACTATGAGGGACTTTATAGGAGGGTAGTTAATTTATATATATTCAAGATATGAATTTGATGGTTTGTCTTGAAACTACGAATGTAGACTTAAGCCAGCAACTAGAACTGATAAATCCACATGTGCTGCAACTGCCTAAACATACAAAGGCATTTTATCTGAGGTGTTTTGTGATAGATTTTGACTAAAGTGCTGCACGTAAAAGTTTAATCTATACATACAGAAACAACTGAAGAATATATTTTTAAGAATATATTTTAGGCATTAAGGTAGCTGATCTGAATTCTTGTCTGTTTTTACATCACCCTGAAAGATTTTTTAAAAAAAAATACTCAGTTTAAACGCTACTTAACATTTAAAAGCACTAGGGGACAGGACCAAGTTTCTTCCAAATAATCCTTTACCCCCTAAGTTATTAGATCTAAGTTATTAGATGAACACGGGTTTTTAGTTTTTTCTTAGATTTCATCTCATTTGCTGCAGTTTTAAACCACAGTCTATATTTGTGGCTCTGATGTACTCACGTCTCGTTCTCTCCAGTACTCTTACTCCTAACATAAATCTACTGTTTAACGAAATTGAATTCGTGCACTGCATTTAAAAATAAATTTTTGAAAGACTTAAGTGATTGAAGTATCTCTCTGCCTTTTTTTAAGGGAACAAATCAGATGCGCTGGACAAGCGCCAGGTGCTGTTTGAAGATGCCTGCACCCTGGCAGAGAAGCACGGGCTCTTAGCTGTGCTGGAAACATCAGCAAAAGAAGCTCAAAACATAGAAGAGGTGTTCATATTAATGGCTAAGGAGCTGATAGCCCGAAATACCTTACAGCTTCATGGGGAGAACCCTCCAAACAGCTTCAGTCTTGACTCCAGGCCAGTGATTGCCAGTCCAAGTGTGGAGAAGACCCAGTGCTCCTGTTGAAGAGAGAATTCAGGGAGAGCTTGGAGACTGCCATTCTTCTGAGGCTGTTTCAGTTTTGTTCAGTTGATGAAAGTGTTCTATGTGGCCTCAAGCCATCTCTCTTGCTATTTCTACCTTGCAGTTTGGCTTGTGAGTATTTTCAGAGATCATTGTTGCTGTTAGTAGCACAGGTTGCTTTGAACATAGCAATGTGAACTTCTGAGATGAGAGGACTCAGGAAGCTGCTAGCCCGTGCCTTAACCAAAGAGAACTATAATAATTATTGCCTTTAATTATTTCCTTACATGTCTTTCTGGCTGTGTCAGAAGACAAATTTGCACCAGAGTTCTGCACTGACCCTTCTAAGCTGTGTTGCTGGTTTTAAGTACAAGCACTTTCCTCTCTGCCCGTAGCTGTAAAAAGTCTGACACATGCTTGGACAGCACTAACCCGCTCCTGCCTGAACTTTAATTTAGGAACTCTCCTGACGTCAGGCAGGTGGCCACCCATTCCAAGGAGATTAATAACATTTGTGAAAGAGTACATGATTTCACATCTGCCCTGAGTTCCTTACCAGAGAAACCTGGAGACATCTCTGCGGTGGCATAGCAGGCA